TGATTGTAGCTCACACATTTTGAATTGTAAACTAAGATAAAAAAAAGAAGAATTTCATTCTTTAAGCATGTTTCTCTTTTGCAAAAACACGTGCAGAAATATTTAAATATTTGCTTTTTTATCTACACTAATCCCTAACTCAGTAGTATAAGCCCTTAATTTTCAAATAAAACATAGTTGATAACCTTCTAAATAAAAGCCACTAGTAATTTATTTTTAGATGATCGAAATTTTTTCACAGTGTTTAGCGTACGTGCAAAAAAAGTCTTATTTTTTACCAAAAAATTACCTTTTGAAAAATAATAATATTGTTGCTAGTGTTACGCATAATGAAGCAATTAAACTAGTTGTTATAACATTTTATATTAATATTTTTTAAAAAAAGTCGTCGAAACTAGTCGGACATCTTTAAAGACTCTAGACAGAAATATATCATTTTTATTTAAAGAAAAAAAGGATTACAATCAGGAAGTTTAAACTTAGATATTTAATTAAAAGAATTAATTTTATCACATTATTTCAATCACTATATAAAATTATGGTGAACTCACTCAATATATCATTTTTATTAATTAAGATACTCAAGAAATAAATATATCATTTTTATTTAAAAAAAAAAGATAACGATCAGGAAGTTTGGATTTAGATATTTAATTCAAATAATAATTTTTTTCTATCGTATTGTTTAAATCACGATGTAAAATTTCGAAATATAATAAATGTTGTTTCATAATAAAGTATAAAAATACTAGTATTTCAATCTTTATTGAGTTAGTAAGGAATAACCATAAATCTCCGCATCAGTTAACTATAAATTTATCACTCAATATATCTTTTTTATTTAGAGAATCAAGAAAGAAATATATGAATTTTATTTTAAAACGAGAGAGATAACCATCAGGGAGTTCGGACTTAGATATCCAATTCAAAGTATTCATTTTCTTTACCACACTGTTTAACTCGCTATATTAAATTATAGAATATAATAAAAAAAGTTTTTGAAATGCTCTATCTAGTTATCTCCGCATCAGTTAACTATAAATTTATCACTCAATATATCTTTCTTATTTAGAGAATCAAGAAAGAAATATATCAATTTTATTTAAAGACAAGAGAGATAACCATCAGGAAGTTTGGACTTAGATATCCAATTCAAAGTATTCATTTTCTTTACCACACTGTTTAACTCGCTATATTAAATTATAGAATACAATAAAAAAAGTTTCTGAAATGCTCTATCTAGTTAGGCTTCATTCATAATCCTTTCAATTTTGTATTCAATTTAGAAAATCTCCACATTTTTAGAAGCGGGTGAAATTCCATCACCCCTCTGGAATTGTCATATGTGTTTTGAAACGAAATAGTTTTGAAACTCAATCCGTCTGAAATGAAAATGGATTCAGAAACTTTACTCTTGACATTCGCATCAAGGTGAAGGGCCTAAAATTACTTTTTGAGATCTCAAGAGTTTTAGACACACTCTGAAATGAAAAATTTTGAAAACCCTATTATTTACCTTATTTAAATGCAGGATATATTATTATGAAGTTGAATAGCTAGCGGAGATTTAAGTAAAACGCACCCTCTTTTGATGCGATGCCGTTTAGTGCATTCTTGACAAAATGCAAAACTCGTTTTGTTTAATATGAAAATTTACTTGATGTGCAAAAATTTGCGACGCAATTACGATAAATTTATAACTTTAAAAGGAATTTATACTTCATGCGACAAATCAAATTAAAATACTGTCTATGAATTTAAAATTTAAAATGCGGTTTTTACTTCATTATTTACACAATAATTGTGTGTCATATATTAATATAGAATTACGTTTCTAATTGCATTAAATACTAGGTTTAACCTAAAAATTTTTTACACATTAGTTTAAATTTGATGTTGGATATACTAATGTACAGTTTAGCTGCTTATTTCAATAAAAGAGCCTTTTAGTAGTGTTTACCGTTTTTTTGGACTGTATTAAACAGAAAACTATATATAACAATTATATATTTGGGTATTATAAACATTTGCTCTGCAAAAAATTCCGGATCAAATTACGGTATAATGTACAGACTTTTTGGATGAAACATACGTAAAATGTACGTTACGGTAAAATCAATTTTACAGTAACATTTATTTAATTAAATTTCACAGTAATATTTATTTAATTAAATTTTTGCAGTAATATTTATTTTAATAGATTGATACTGACATTTTACTGCATCTAGTACTGTAAATAATATGGTATATCAGATTTTTTGTTCCGTAACAGGTCGGTAAAATAGTAGAAAGTGGTACAATATTACATTGAAATTGGATTTTACGGTAAAAAGTATCGACACCTTGAATGCCGATACATTTAGACGTAATTTGATTCGGAATTTTTTACGGTGTGTAACAGAAACTGTGATGCATTTACATGGGGGTTTTTATTTTAAAAATAGTCAACACTTTAAGCCCTGATTCAATAAGTTTTCATATGTGAATATACAACTCTCACTGCTTAAAATTTTACATTAGGAATTGAAAAAATAATTGAAAGTTTACATTACCAAATTCCCATTTGCATACTTAGAAGAATTAAATTATTAATTTACTATTTATGCTAGAAATGATACAAATACTATTATGGAATTAAGTTTTTTGGAAAAATTTAGAAATTAAATTTAATATCCTTACGATGATTTTACACATTATTTTATAATTACGCTCTGAATATATCGACATTAAATTGAATCGTGAGCATAGATTTAATTTTTCTCTTGAAATATATTATACATAATGCTTTTTGTTTCAAAAATTTAATTAATGTAGTCGTTTTTGTGATAAAATTAAATTTTTAAGGGTTTTTTTTAAAATTAAGAAGCAATTTAGATTTTCAGATTGTATTCATATAAAAAATTTCATTTCACATTTGCTATTGTTTAAATCCATTTGATTAAAATATATGTTAAAAAATTATGTATCTTTAAGAATTAGGGAAACTTATAAATGCCATGGCATTTATAACTTCCCATACTTATTTAATATATGCAATATAATTAAAACAAATATATAGCTATTTACAAAAATGTTTTTAAAACATTTTTATGTATTAAGAAAATATGGAAACTTATAAATATCATGATAATAGATTTATATTTCGTCTGGCTTTTTTTATTAAAAAATATTGCCAAAATATCTCAATTACATGCTTATGAAATTGTTTGATAAATTATATTTTTAATTTTGAATATCAAATATGAAAAAATCAATATGGTATATTAAACTAAATTTCGGTGTAAATCTGAATAAGTTATGAAATTTTATACTTTGTAAAATTCAAAAGCTAGTTCAAAAGCTTACTGAATCCACAGGAATGTAAAAAGTTTTAAAACCAGTGCAAATTTTTGCAATTATTTCTATTAGCTAGATTTCACAAAATAATCATTTTTCAGATTCAATAACTTTCAGAGTTTTAAGCAATTGATAACGTTATGACTTATTAAATTAAATTATGAAAATTAAGAATACTTTGATTTTTACATGAAAATCTTCATTAAAATAGAGGCAGATTTAATAATAGAGAAAAGCATATTTAAAACAATTCAAGTTAAAACTAGACACTTTTTAATTAAATATCAATACATTTTTATTAAATAGTTTTGCATCGTCCTAAAATATTTGTTTCTAGATATTGTCTATATACAATTACGTCGAAAATAAATTTTGAATGCTTTTTGCAAATAACAACACTAAAAAAATGCCATTTTTATATGAACTGTTTTTAAATCACTTAAGAATTAAGTGATTTCAAGATATTTTTGTACTTATGACATGTTCAGACATTGCTTTTTCAATGTTTTTCATTACAAAAAAAATTCTTACAGTGTAACAGAATTAGTATGTAGCAGAACTAGTATGCAGAATTAGCTAGGAGAATTAGTATGTTGTAGAATATATGCAGTTTTTTCATGTATTATCACATTAATAATAAAATTGTTTCTAATGTATATCAATATGATGATGTTAAAACATACCGAAATCAGTAAATAAAAATAAAATCAAATTGTTGAAAAACAAAATGTATATAAGCTCAATTTTTGTCCTGAGATAAGTTCAGATATTGCTGTTTCAATGCATGTCGTTAAGAAAATAATTGGTATGTAGCAGAATTAGTACGTAGCGTAACTAGTATGCAGAATTAGTATGTAGCAGAATTATTATGCAACTATATCTAGGCAATTTTTTGATTTATTTAAATCAAATTAAAAATAAAATTGATTTAATTGTATATCAGCATAATGTTGTTAAAAACTTACCGAAATTGGTAAATTAAAAGTAAAATAAGACTGATGAAGAAGAAATTGCATGTAAGAAAAAAATATATAAAATAAAAAAAAAAAAATTATAAGAAAAGTATACATATTTCAGTGAAAATAATTAAGATATACATTTAACATTTAGTTAAAATTTAAGCTTAATTTTCACATTAAAGCATTTAACTTATATTTAAAAGGTCTTTAAACCTAATGCGAAAACCACAGTACCATGTGAAACAATATAACTCTAGTTGCTGACACGGTCTGCGAAAGAGACTAAATGCAATCACTCTTGGCAAACTAAATCACCCCGAAAGATTGTTTAATAGCATATTTTGCACAAAAATTTACACAGTAGTGTTTGGGCTAAAGAATAAATTACAATTTAAATATCATATTATACAAAATTTAATATTGAACATATAAGACATTGAAAACATTCTAAGTAAAAATTGTACTTACATCTTTGGCACTTCCATTGGTATCCCTTAGTCGGAAAGTCTTCATTTTGGTGCTAAAGTTGCATTCATTTGGTTCAAAAACGATAATATTCTTCATAAAATTAGTTTTTAAAGTGCACAATAATTATCACTGAGCTAAACAATATAATATATTTTAATAGATCTCCTATAATTAATAATGTACAAGCTTTTGTAAACACCTAAAATGAAAATAAACTTGTAATTCTGTAGTACTTACCAACAGGTACAACACGATAAACACACGGGTCTCTCTGTCGTCCTATGTTATTTATACCCCAGCATAATAGTGCTCCGTAACCTAACATATTTCGAGGTGTGTAGTACACTGTGCTGGTCAGGCCGTCTGATATGAATTTTTTGACTTCCATGCTTTCCACTGTATTGTTAAGTGCCCAGTGGAATTCTATTTCTTTTGGATCGCCATCAAGTTCACAAGTGATATTTAGGGTTTCTTGTTTGGCTACACCAAATATTTGTACTGCTGGGTTCTTGCAAACTGGAACAACTGAAATAAAAATATGCATCATTAAAATGCACTGTCACATAATACAGTTAACTAAATATATGTATTTTATAAAAATATATCAGGTGTATCTTTATATCGATTGTCTACATTTAACTATTTCTTATAAACTAAGCTAAACTCAGTGGTGCGACAGCCCATAGAGGGCCAATGCCTACTGTGCCCATCTCAGTTTTTGGCTCTGGNACAGTTAACTAAATATATGTATTTTATAAAAATATATCAGGTGTATCTTTATATCGATTGTCTATATTTAACTATTTCTTATAAACTAAGCTAAACTCAGTGGTGCGACAGCCCATAGAGGACCAATGCCTACTGTGCCCATCTCAGTTTTTGGCTGAGGCTGAAAAAGCAGATCTTCCGGTTGGGTGGTCAGCCCAACGCGGAACCCCCAGTGTTTAGTTCCCAAGCATGCTTGGTACTAATTTTATCGACCCACTGAAGGGATGGAAGGCTGAGTCAAATTTGCCCGGCCCGAGGATCGAACCTGTGGCCCGACAGTGGGAAGAGCTACCACTATTTCTTCTAATTACAATTATAATTCTTATAATTACCATTTCTTATAGTTACATTGAATGTTTACATTGAATCTGACTAATTCTTTTTTTTTAATTTTTAATGAAAACGAATTTAATTTTTTCAATAAAAGCAAATATTTTAGTTCACTTTTTTCACGAAATGAACTAGACTGATGCTTTTGTAATTTCTTAGACTTTTTAAAAACTTCGTAACACTGCAAAGAGAAAAGACTTTTTCAGTTCGAGGTAGAACATGTTTGTTTTCCCGCTATGAGAACCAGATTTCAACTAAATTTAAAAAAAAAAAAAAAACTTTGATCACACGAACACTGCTAAAGAAGAAAATATTTATCGCAAAATTGTTGAATTTTTTTTTCTCTTAAGGATGCTTTATTTGTAAGACTTTTCAGTGTGACTATATGAAATGTTTATCTAAAAAATAAGTTATTTTAATTACTAAAATCATCCGTAAAATTCATCACCAAACATATAAAATAAAATCATGCGGTGGTTAGATTTTAAATGTTTCTTCTTTACATCATCAATTTAAAGGCATTAAAAATTTAATTGTTGTCAAATAATTTTGTATTGAGCACTTTTTTTTCACCTTCTTACGCGGAAAGATTACATGAGTTCCATAATTTAGAATTTTTTAACCACACTGAGGGAGAAATATGGTCAAAACTACCAGAATATAGTAAAAATTTTTATTTTCTGGTTCGAAAAGAAGAACAAAAAACACAATAGTTTTTACCTCAGCCTTTTGGTAACGATTTGGTTAAAATAAGCAATAAAAAGTGGTTGGTTTTATAACATATGGTAAATTTCGGCTATTGCGGAAAAAAATTAGTAAGTTTATCATGATACTTTGGAGCATGGTATAAAAACCATTTATTTGATTTTATTCACCCTTTAGCTTTGTATTTTTTACTAAATGTATAGAAATATAATTTTTGAAATCAGAATTTCTAATGTGCAGTTACTAAATGAACAGTAATTTGGCTTGAATATTTAATTGAGATGAATGGTTTAAATTTCCTATAGTTTGGGTTTTATTATCAGAATTATGGTTTATTTTTTCAGAAAAGCCATTTCTATAAATTACGGAAATTTTTCTAAATTATGTTTTTCCCGTAACATTACGAAAATTCAATCAATGCAAATAATAATAGATAAAATCATTTTGGTAATTAAAATTTAAGACGAGTATTTTTTTTAATGAATTTTGAGTTAAAAAAATGTCAAAATAATATATATATTTTTCCTTATAGCAACAAAATTCGTTCAACTCAATACTGTTTATCTTTTTCAAATATTGATGATAAATTTCATTAAAATTATAAACTAATAGAAAGTAAGCGGTTTCCAAGTTTTATATGAAGTCAACTAACAATAAAACATATAAATATTTCATATTTTTATGTTCTATATTTATTCTTAGGCTTCTTTATCTTCGAAACAATGAGTTTCATCACACTCTTACCATCTTTTATAAAAACGTATATCCTGGAGAAAACAATCTGAAACAACAGAAATAACAAACAATAATAGTAAAGATATATCCCAGCGGAGTTCTATGAAACGTTATTTGATTATATTTCTTGTTCCCAAGGCGGCACGTATCCAATACTATTCTTTGAGTAGTTTCGATTAATCACGGGGGTATAATTTTCTTTGAGATATATATCTTATTGTTATGAAACATAGATCATGTGATCTCATGTGTATATGCCACGTAACGTAGTGTTTCAAACAAAAATAAAGATATCATATATAAATAACTATTGATACTTTCATTGCAATAAACGTGTTTGTTGTTAATGCTATATTTTTTAATTAAAAAATATTTCCAATGTTTTTTTAGTTCATACAAATATATATATATATATGTTGACATTCACCGGTGAATGTCAACATTCACGTAGTCGCTTGGTGTATGTCCAAAATATTTGCTAAATACCCTTATTTCTGACTCTCACCAGTGAATGTCAACAATCCCATAGTCGCTTTGGTGAATGTCTGAAATATTTGTCATATCCAATTTTATATTAATTTATTCGTTAATATTATTATATTTATTTGATATATTTATATTTATTCTATACTTTAATACTTACTGACTATAGATTAGAAGAAACATCAGTGTTTGGAGTATCGGGCGAATATATACCGGGCAATGGCACTTGACCTTAAAAAAACATTAGTGTAGGGTATACCGGGCAAATTTATACCGGCCAGTGGCACTTAACCTTAAAAAAACATCAGTGTATGGTTAAAATATCGAATAAATGTAATTATATCCACGAATAAATTCATATCAAATCGAATGTAATAAATATTTCGGACATTCACCAAAGCATATCTGTGATTGTCGACATACACCGGTGAGGGTCCGAATGTACAAGAATGTAATGAAATATTCGATCTTTCACCGACGTATTTGGTGTTTGTCGACATTCACCGGTGAAAGTCAACAACCACCGATTTCGGTCTTTCGCC